CCAAAATATTTTGGCTCTTGTACATTTTCTTTTCTAGATAAACTTTATGATTTTGACAGACACACAAATACATTCTCAATGAGATTTTTATTGGAATTACATTGACTTTGTGAATTATTTAAGAGCAATTAGAATATTGAGTTTTCTCACTCAAGATGATGGTAATGTATTCTGTTCTCAGTTCCTCTTAAAAATGTCCTTCAGCAAAATATTATTTCCTGTCTATATTTCTTGCTTGCTTTTAAAGATTATTCTTAGGCATACTGTTTCTCGGTATGCAATTGTCAATGAATTTTTTTTTTTTTTTACTTTTTGTAACTGAGTATTACTTTTAGATAGGAAAGCAATTAATTTATGTTTCAATCTAGTGCATCATTAAAGTATATTTATTAGTCCTCATAGTTTTTCGGTTACTTATTTTGGATATTTTTAGATATACAATTATATCACCTCCACAAAAATACTATTGTCTTCTCATGAATAAATATTAGGATATAGAGGTATAGAAAATAATGTGGAATAGAAGTGTTGTTAGCAGGCACCACTGTTCAGTTTATAGTTTTAACATAAATGTTTATAATATTTCACTTTTAAGTAAGATGTTTGTCATATATTTCTGTATTATATCCTTTGTCAATTTTAGTAAGTTGCTTCTATTTGTATCACACTAAAAATTTTAATCAGGAGTGACGGCTTAAAGTAATACTAAGCAAAAAGAGCCATTCTGAAGGCAACACATTACCTGACTTCAAACTATGCTAGAAGGATATAGTTACCCAAACAGCATAGTACTGGTATAAAAATAGTCATATTAGACCAATGGAACAGAATAGAGAATCCAGAAATAAAGCCAAATCTTTATAGTCAATTGATCTTTAGCAAAGCATACAAAAACATAAAGCGGGGAAAGGACACCCTACTCAACAAATGGTGGTGGGATAATTGGCAAGCCGCGAAGTAGGAGAATGAAACTAGATCCTCATGTCTCACTTTATGCAAAAATCAGCTCAAGATGGATCAAAGACTTAAATCTAAGACCTGAATCCATAAAAGGTCTAGAAGATAACATCGGAAAAACTCTTCTAGACATTGACTTAGGCAAAGAATTTATGACCAAGAACCCAAAAGCAAATGCAACAAAAACAAAAGTAAATAAATGGGATCTAATTAAACTAAAAAGCTTCTGCACAGCAAAAGAAATAATCAGCAGAGTAAAGAGACAATCCATAGAGTGGGAGAAAACATTTTCCAACTATACATCTGACGAAGGACTAATATCCAGAATCTACAAGGAACTCAAACAAATCAGCAAGAAAAATAGAAACAATCCCAGCAAAAACTGAGTAAAGGATACAAACAGACAATTCTCAAAAGAAGATGTACAAATGGCCGGCAAACATATGAAAAAATGTTCAACATCGCTAATCATTAGGGAAATGCAAATTAAAACCACAATGAGATACAACCTTCCTCCTGCAAGAATGGCCATAATTTAAAAATTAAAAAAATAAAAAGATATTGGAGTGAATATGGTGAAAAGAGAACACTTTTACACTGTTGGTGGGAATGTAAATTAGTACAACCACTAGGGAAAACAGTATGGAGATTCTTTAAAGAATGAAAAGTAGTACTACCATTCGATTTTAGCAGTCTCACTACTGTGTATCTATCCAGAGGAAGAGAAGTCATTATATGAAAAAGACACATGCACATGCATGTTTGCAGCAGCACAATTCACAATTGCAAAAATATGGAACCAACCAAAATGCCCATTGACCAATGAGTGGATAAAAATACGTGGTATATCTCTATATATATACCATGAAATACTACTCATCCATAAAAAGGAATGAAATAATGGCATTTGCAGCAACCTGGATGGAGTTGGAGGCCATTATTCTAAGTGAAATAACTTAGGAATGAAATACCAGATATTGTATGTTCTCACTTGTAAGTGGGAGCTAAAATATGAGTATGTAATGAAATAAGAATAACATAATGGACTTTGGAAACTCAGGGGAAGGGTGGGAGGAGGGTCAGGGATAAAAGACTACACATTGGATATGTTGTACACTGCTTGGGTAACAGGTGCACCAAAATCTCAGAAATCACCGCTAAATAATTTATCCATGCAACCAAAAACCAGCTGTTCCCCCCAAATTGACATTTTTCTAAAAAAGGAGTGAAGGCTTAATTTACATAAGCCTTCTAAACTCCAAAAACACTCTCTTATGTTATTTCATTTGTAATTTTTTTTGTAGTGGATGTGAGTGTAGATATACTAAGAAGGGAAGAGGGTCAAAGACAGAGTCCAGGATCTTTCCAACATTAAGAGAGTGGAAAGAAGATGGGGATAACCAATCAGATAGACTGAAGAGCTAGGGTGGATGGAACAGGACAATTAAGAAACCAATGGCTTCTAGGCCCAATGAAGAAAGATTACCAAGAGGAAAAAAGGAATCCATTGCTTCAAATGCTGCTGATAGGTCAGGTAAGAAGAGGACTAGAAGAGGATTGACCACTGGCTTTGGGAGTAAAGGGGTCACTGGAGCCCTCTACGAGAGTCCAACTTCACACTTTGCCCTGCACAAGTGCTCTGCTCCTTACCTGTGTATTAAATTACATTTAGCTAAGAGTTAGTAAAGGTATTAGTCTTCTCAGACTGCCATAACAAAATACCCCACTCTGGGTGTCTTAAATCTTGAGTTCCTTGAGAGAAACTTTTTCCCTTGCACCTTCTGGAGCTGGAAATCGAACATCAGAGCTCGGGTTGATTCAGTTTCTGGTGAGGACTCTCTTCCTGGATTGCAGACAGCCACCTTCTCTCTATGTCCTCACATGGCCTTTCCTCCATGCATGCCCTTGGGGGTTGGGAGATAATTCAAGGAAGAGAGCATGAGTGGAGAGAGAGCCCTTTGATGGCTCTTCTTGTAAGGACACTAATTGTATCACATCAGGGCCCCATCCTTATGACCTCATTTAACCTTAATCACTTCCTAAGAGTCCCCGTCTCCAAATACAGCCACACCAGAAGTTAGAACTTTAACTTATGTATTTTGAGGAACATAAACATTCAGTCCACAGCAGTAAACTATAGTTCATGGGCCAAATCTGGCTCACTATCTGCTTTTGTAAATGAAGTCTTGTTGGCAAACAGCCATGCTAACTAGTTTACATATTATCTCGGCTACTTTTGTACTACAATGGTGAAGTTGAGTAATTGCAACAAAGACCGTGTGACCCACAAAACCTAAACTATTTATTCTCTGGCCCTTTACAGAAAAAGTGTGCCAGGTCCTACACTTAGCTTGGCACATATCTTAGTTTCTCTGAGACAAAATTGATCATTCTTCTGAACTCCTGTGTTGGTTTTTCCTTCCCTCCCTCCCTCCCTCCCTCCCTCCCTCCCTCCCTCCCTCCCTTCCTTCCTTCCTTCCTTCCTTCCTTCCTTCCTTCCTTCCTTCCTTCCTTCTATTTTGGGTTTATCTTTCTTCTTTTGTTGTGGTTCATAAAAGAAGAACAGCAGGCTGGCTCCTGGGCTCAATGATCCTCCTATAAGCCTCTGGAGGAACTGGCATTGCAGGTGCATGCTACCATGTCTGACTAAGCTTTTTAAAATTTTTAGTTGTTTTGTAGAGATGGGGGCCTTCCTTCCTTCCTTCCTTCCTTCCTTCCTTCCTTCCTTCCTTCCTCCCTTTTTTTGAGATAGGGTCTCACTCTGTTGCCCAGGCTGGTATAGTGGCATGATCATGACTCACTGCAGCTTCAAACTCCTGGGCTCAATGATCCTCCTGCCTCAGCCTCTGGAGGAACTGGCATTGCAGGTGCATGCTACCATGTCTGACTAAGCTTTTTAAAATTTTTAGTTGTTTTGTAGAGATGGGGGTCTCACTGTATTACCCAGGCTGGTTTCGAACTCCTAGCCTAAAGCAGTGCTCCTGTCTTGGCCTCCGTAAGTGTTGGGATTACAGGCATGAGCTGCTGTGCCCAGCCAGTATTTATTTCCTGATACAGTCATCTGACTGTTAATTTATTATCATGTGTGGTTATTTTTAGGTGTGGTTATCTTGCCCTCCAATTACATTAACATTTCTTCAAAAGCAGAAACTCTGCTATTTTCCTTTGTTTCTCCCACAGTCTTATGAATATAAAAAGGATGTAAAATAAATATTCATTAATTTATGTTACATATCTGCAGATTTCACTGCTTATGCTGCCCACAACTTCCAAAAAGCTTGCATCACTCACAGCTTCTAAAAGGGGCAGGGCTAAATGCCATGGGATTATAGCCCTGGCCACCAACAATTCAGATTGTATTTTGAGAGTTTGAACTAAGACACGGAGTGGATGCTGCTGGCATCCTGTCAGAGAATTGCCTTAGACAAATAAGAGCCACTTCTTCAGGGGGTTAACATGATAAGGTCTCCCCGCTGTTCCTCTGCCCTTCTCCTAGAGCACTCTTCCAATAAATCCCTTAAATAAAATTTCCCTATGTCAGGCTCTGCTTCTAGGGAACCCGATGTAAGAGCTAAGACAAGGGCCTTCGACTCAGACCAAGACTTCAGGGAGGTTCCTGTCTCAAGTAATTTCCAAGTCAGAGTCAAATCTCCAGAAAGTGTTATATCTGTAAAAATGGACTGCTGCAGTGTTCGAGAGGTGGGAATGCTCCCTAGTGCTCCTCTCATTGATGGAAGATGGAGAAGAGAAATCCCCCAGTGGGTAGTCTTCTTCCTGCATCAAATTTAAGGCAGTTCGCTAGCTTGCGAAGAAAATGTCAATAGGCTGATGTGGTTGGGGTTTGCTGAACCTGTCCTATAATTTACCATAATGTGATCATCTCACCTCCAGTGCCAGTCATGGGTCCTGATGCAACAAAGTATGTGTCTGTGTCTGGGGTGGGGAAGGATGGTAAGGCAGAGCTTCTATTTTCTGCTGCGTGTGCTTTAAACTGGTGCCATCTTGCAGACCTTTTTCTTTTTCCCCTCTATCTTTTTGGGTAGGTGTTCTGTTTTTCCTCTGTTAATGTATGTTTGGAGGTGGTGATTAAATCTACGATTCCATCCATAATGTGAAAAACTGAGGTAGAGCTACAAGAGGAGAAGACTACTTGGAGAAAAATACCTTCATGGCATCACCTCAGGACAGAATAGCTGCTGTGATCTTGGATTGTTGGGTAGAAGTAAAAGTAATTATGATTTTAATGTGGATACTCTAAATATGTCAGGTATGTACACATGCCTTTAGAATCGCAAATGCCATGGCAGGGGGATGTACCAGAAAAATTTGATTGACCATACTGCTTTGGCTCCTCCTAGAGAACCTGCTGGACTCACTGCTGCTGGTTGGAGCAGCTCAATAGGAGACACATCTCTCTCCTCGACCATTCCCCACGTGGCTACCTAAACCATTTCCCTTGTGGCTACCAGGCACGGACTCTCAGCCAAGACCAGCTGATGCCATGGATGACCGATGCCAAGTCAGCATCCCTGTTGAGAACTGCAGTGAAGGAAAGGAGAGAGCACTGTTGATGGTTGGTTCTGAACCCTTGAGCTATAAGTTCATGCAGACCTAGGGACTGAGGGAACAAATAATGGGTCATCCACAGGAAAGGAAACCTGAAGGAGAAAGAAAAATGACAATGTTAAGAAATGATGAAGAGATAGTAATGGTGCTAAAGATGGTGAAGAGAGTGCAGAGATAACATTGGAGAAAGAGATGATGACAAAGACTAGACAGAAGAAAAGACTTTCCAGAGAGATTGAGAGCGCTTTGTGCCTCACGTTTCAATTCCCATCTCCTACCCCCAGGAGACACATATTTGACTTTGGAGCCCATCTAAAATAACAGATACCGCCTCTGCTCTCTACAGGCTTACAATATTAAAGAAACAGCACTCAGATGAACCATCATATACAGAAGATTGAGACATTAAATGCAGAAGGGTAAGTATACACAAAGCATAATACATTGGAAATAATAGTCCATTTTACTTGTTGCCCTTAGAAAGCATGAGATTGTCTCACATTCTCTGAACAGACCCCTCTTGCTTTCTTGAACTGGCATGAGAGAATTTATTTTCCATGTAACAAGAAGAGCCTTGACTACAGTACATCAGTTAATGAGAGACATTTTCCAAAGCTTGGCAGAACAGAGTCATCAGGTTTCTAGATCCTCGGGGAGTAAGATCAGAATCTACAGTGACCCTGTGAATTGGGAGGAGAGATGGAAGCATGGACAGTGCAAGGTAGTGTGATTATGCAGGGGAAATAAAAACAACCTTTGAAAAACAACGGGAAGGCGATGGGCTACGTGAAATATGTCATGTGGTAGTGCATGTAGTTGTAATGAGCAGTAATGGCAGAATAGAGACTGCATCTGGGCCGGCCATGTAGCCAGTTGGTTTAAAAAGCAAAATTAGTTCAGTGATAAGCACAGGCAGGGCATATTTGATACTGGAGAAAATGTTCCTTTTATACTCAGCATTGCCAACTTCAGACCAGTAAAATGTAGTATTTGTTATTGCATATTTGCCTGTGCTACTCTTCTAAAAAATATGATATCTGTTCTCCAGCATCTTACAGGCTAAAAGAGACAACACTCAGATTAACTTCTACATGAAGTCTTGAAGATTCAATGCAGAACTTACAAGTAAAGCATTGTAAATACTTTAGGAACACATGTTCTGTTAATTTAAAAAAGCACTTTCAATATGCCCTATGTTTTTAATAGCAATCAATGTTCTTAATCAGAACCAATATCTCCTATGTTGTTAAGACTTTGGAGGCAGAGCTGAGTTCAGAGGCTGCCTGTGCTGTCCACCTGTTGGGGCCCATGGACAAGCTGCTTAGCCACTTGGAGTCATAGTTTTCGATTTGAATAATAGCAATGATAACCATCCTGCAGGGTTGCCATCTTTGTACTAGACATAGGAAATTTAGTTTGCTACAGTATTGCCACTTGATATGGTTTGGTTCTGTGTTCCCATCCAAATCTTACCTTGAATTGTAATAATCCTCACAAGTCGAGGGACGGACCTGGTGGGAGGTAATTGAATCATGGGGATGGTTTTTTCCCATGCTGTTCTCATGATAGTAAATCTCATGAGATCTGATGGCTTTATAAAGGGGAGTTCCCCTGCACATGCCCTCTTGTGTGCCGCCATGTAAGACATCCCTTTGCTGTTCCTTTATTTTCTGCCATGATTGTGAGGCCTCCCCAGCCATGTGGAGCTGAGTCCATTAAGCCTCTTTCCTTTATAAATTACCCAGTCTTGGGTATGTCTTTATCAGCAGTGTGAGAACAGACTAATACAGCACTCCTATTATGTTATCTTCCTCCCCTCACATTTGGGAGCCTCTGTGTGCATTAGGGCTTGTGATCACCTGGGTACAGGTTGTTACTTCCAAGAGAAACCCAGCGTTTCTTTGTAGTTGAAAAACACACGAGGAAATGTTAAAGGAACCAGCGAAAAATATGTAGTGCCCTGGTAAAACCTGATTAACTCCCTGTGTGTCCTTAGCCAAGTCACCCAAACTCTTTGGGCTTCAGTTCCTTCATATTTTAAGTTGTGGAGGGTGGGATGAAAACGAGAGGGTAATTGCTTGAGATGATTTCTAATATCACTTCCAGCTGTAAAATGTGAGGTTTCTCTAAGATCAGGAGCAAATCTAACTTTTCTTTGACACAAAGGGCTCTTACACGAAACATAATGATCAACTTTAATATAACTTCCCTGAGGACAGAAAAGAAGAAATAGGGTGGACAGAGCCTCCCTAGATTTTGGCTGAAGATAAGGAAGACTTTCCAGACTGTGAGAATTATTTATTGGTGTGAATCAACAAGGGAGCATGGGATATTCGAGTAGGATAGATTTCTCTCTCTTTGGACAAAGTAGGATCCTGAACTGAAGCCTAAGTTTGCAGTGAAGGGAGGGTGAGTGCAGTGGGGGGCTGTGGGGTGATGAGAGGGATGAAGAGATTAATGGCCTTTCTCTACTAGTCCCATGTCTTAGATGTGACTTGCCAACTTGCAGTCCCAGGTTTCATGCAGTTTGTGCTCCTCAGAGGGTCCAACAAGCTCGGTGACTATCAGTGAGTCACCAACAGCTACCAGTGTGATTTGCATTTTGACCCAACAGGACTGTATGGAAGGTGGTAATTAGCAAAGAGACACAGCAGGTCTAAGCGTCACCATTTCCAGTTAGTTTTTACTTTTGTGTTTGAAAAGATAGTAAAATTCTAGAGAAAAACAACAAAACAAAACAATGATTCTTCCTCCCCTAACCAGCCCCAAGTTTCCAAATTAAGCAAGCAGTGAATCTAGTAGGGTGACACCACCAGAAGAAAACCCTGTGGACTGTGGGGACCCAGTGAAGTTATGGCTGTGATCCTCAGCCTTGCAGGCTGTGCTGCCTGCCCTTTGTGAAAAGACCCTGGCCGGGCGCGGGGGCTCACACCTGTAATCCCAGCACTTTGGGAGGCCGAGGTGGGCGGATCACGAGGTCAGGAGAGAGAGACCATTCTGGCCAACATGGTGAAACCCCGTCTCTACTTAAAATGCAAAAATTAGCTGGGCGTGGTGGCAGGCGCCTGTAATCCCAGCTACTTGGGAGGCTGAGGCAGGAGAATCGCTTGAACCTGGGAGGCGGAGGTTGCAGTGAGCCGAGATCACGCCGTTGCACTCCAGCCTGGGTGACAAGAGTGAAACTCCGTCTCAAAAATAATAATAAAAAAGGAAAAGACCCTTACTCTCTCATTAGTACGGCAGTTTTGTCATCTGCATTTCCACATACATCCATTTTGCAAACGATGTTGCTCTTTTAATCTTTTTCTCTCAGCATTCCTCCTGTCTCCATGTTCAGTTTCTCTTAAACTCAGTCTCATTGTCTCAGCTTTAGCTTTTGTTGCTGTTATTGTTTGTTGTATTTTATTTTCCATGATGGGACTTTTATAGAAAATACTTCATTACATCTCAGGACATTCTTATATTCACCTACTATGGTTTTACTATTTTATCTGCATTTGTTCTCAGTCAGTCTTATTACAACTTGGAACCGCTGAGGCCCCACTAGGGGGCTGCAAGTGCCGTAGTCAGAGCCGGCTGTTGTTGCTCTCACAGCAGAATTCTATCAAGTTAAGACAGACACACTCTTTAGAAAGGACAGAGCACAGCTGTGGCGGGATTGAACCACAGATCCCATTGTTTTGTCCAGATGCTGGAGCTGATTTTCTCTTCAGAAAAAGAGGGCATTCAAAACAAAAACAAAAACCAGGTTTGCTATTTTAAATGACATTGGATCCTTGGGAGCATTGTTTTCTTTTGGAAGCCAAGAGGAAATGTCAGGAAGAGACAGAATGTATAGGTGGTGTGAGATGCTTGCAGAGAATTGTTCACGGCTTTTCGGATTGGCTTGGATGACTCTTTCCTGCCTCGATTCTCTCTCCTATTTCAATTCACCTGATCCACTACTGACACATGGATCTTTCAAAAAACTCTGCAGTGATCATGTTATTCCCTATTTCAGGCATCATGAATGATTCCACATTATCTAGACCCAAACTCCCTATCTTTCAGAGTAATAAGGATGCCTTTTAAAGTTAAAAAAAGAGAAGCACCTTATTTCCGCATTAGAATGGATTCACTACACTTTTAAGTGCAGTTGTATGGAAGTATTCACAACAGCATCTATGTACTTTAAATAAATAGTCCAGCTGAGAATAAGTGTTTATTTTGTCAGCTTATAATGCTTAGCTCACTTCTGAATTCCTGGACCCCTTGTACTAATCCTCTGGTCCCAGGGTTCTGTGAAGCTTGGATGAGAAGTAGTACCCTGGAGGACTAGACTCAGCATTGCCAGGATTGTTCCTTGGTGAGCATCCTCTGATTCCATTGACTTTCCCCAGGTAGATGTTTTCTAGGTATGTCCTCTCTCCTGTCTTTCTGGAGCCTTCTGGACTATTCTCTGGCCTTCTTCCTCCCTCTTTTCTGTGTTTTCAATTTTTCCCTCTTTATTGACACGTTCCTCGCAGACCCAGATATACTGGGTCTGCCTCGTGTTAGGCACTGATCATTTTATACTACTATACTTTATATACCTTGTCTCTAGTTATATTGACACAACGTTTCAATTGCTGGTTAAGTGATCTTTACAATAGATGTAACAGATAAGAACTGTGTTAACAACATGTGGTGGCAATAAAGTGTTAAACAAACAAAAAGCTTTAATGGTGATAAATTTTGTAGGAGTAAATAAAAAGAGCTCACTTGATTTGTGGCTGTCCTCTGTCGGGTCTCTAGGGGTAGCCTTTCCTGCATGGGGCTGCTACAGCTTATTTTGATCTATGGTCTTTCTAAGCATTTCGATTTTGGCATTCCAAAGATGACTATCTTGGGAAGACTAAAATTGACTACTATCTACTAACTAGTTAAAAAACAATCTTCTGAATGATTAAGCAATATTTCTTATAATGCCATTTCGTTTTGGTAAGAGGAAAAAAGTGATTACATTTATTGTCCTTTATTATTTATTTATTTTTCTATTTATTTTACTTATTTTTTATTATACTTTTTAATTTTTTAATATTATACTTTAAATTCTAGGGTACATGTGTATAATATGCAGGTTTGTTACATATGTATACATGTGCCATGTTGGTGTGCTGCACCCATTAACTCGTCATTTACATTAGGTATATCTCCTAATGCTATCCCTCCCTCCTCCCCCCACCCCACGACAGGCCCCAGCGTGTGATGTTCCCCTTCCTGTATCCAAGTGATCTCATTGTTCAGTTCCCACCTATGAGTGAGAACATGCAGTGTTTGATTTTCTGTTCTTGTGATAGTTTGCTAAGAATGATGGTTTCCAGCTTCATCCATGTCCCTACAAATGACATGAACTCATCCTTTTCTATGGCTACATAGTATTCCATGGTGCATATGTGCTACATTTTCTTAATTCAGTCTGTCACTGATGGACATTTGGGTTGATTCCAAGTCTTTGCTATTGTGAATAGTGCCACAATAAACATACATGTGCAAGTGTCTTTATAGCAGCATGATTTTTAATCCTCAGTAATGGGATGACTGGGTCAAATGGTATTTCTAGTTCTAGATCCTTGAGGAATCACCACACTGTCTTCCATAATGGTTGAACTAGTTTACAGTCCCACCAACAGTGGAAAAATGTTCCTATTTCTCCACATCTTCTCCAGCACCTGTTGTTTCCTAACTTTTTAATGATTGCCATTCTAACTGGTGTGAGATGGTATCTCATTGTGGTTTTGATTTGCATTTCTCTGATGGCAAGTGATGATGAGCATTTTTTCATGTATCTGTTGGATGCATAAATGTCTTCTTTTGAGAAGTGTCTGTTCATATCCTTCACTCGCTTTTTGATGGGATTGTTTGTTTTTTTCTTGTAAATTTGTTTGAGTTCTTTATAGATTCTGGATATTAGCCCTTTGTCAGATGAGTAGACTGCAAAAATTTTCTCCCATTCTGTAGGTTGCCTGTTCACTCTGATGGTAGTTTCTTTTGCTATGCAGAAGCTCTTTAGTTTAATTAGATCCCATTTGTCAATTTTGGCTTTTGTTGCCATTGCTTTTGGTGTTTTAGACATGAAGTCCTTGCCCATGCCTAAGTCCTGAATGGTATTGTCTAGGTTTTCTTCTAGGGTTTTTAATGGTTTTAGGTCTAACATTTGAGTCTCTAATCCATCTGGAATTAATTTTCGTATAAGATTTAAGGAAGGGATCCAGTTTCAGCTTTCTACATATGGCTAGCCAGTTTTCCCAGAACCATTTATTAAATAGGGAATCCTTTCCCCATTTCTTGTTTTTGTCAGGTTTGTCAAAGATCAGATGGTTGTAGATGTGTGGTATTATTTCTGAGGGCTCTGTTCTGTTCCATTGGTCTATATCTCTGTTTTGGTACCAGTACCATGCTGTTTTGGTTACTGTAGCCTTGTAGTATAGTTTGAAGTCAGGTAGTGTGATGCCTCCACCTTTGTC